ACGACAAACAATGTGGCAATCATAAAAAAGAAACAAAGAAGGGGAGGGGGTGTCCGAAGGATCTATAGCGCTTTTTTTTTTGGATAAATAGTGGATAGCGCAGTACATTTTGTTGGCACTTAACCGCTAGATAGTGATTTATCGGTTGGATAGCGTTATCCACCCTGAACAACAGAGCCCTGGTCATCAAGTAAGAGTAATTTGAGACAGTGCCTTCTTAAATTCTAAAACTTTAAAAGTAGAAAGAACGCAACAGGACGGCCCCCTAACAGTCGCGGTGTTGTTTTCGCTCAACTTGACAATGCGGAGAAGTTTGGTAATGAACATTCCAAGAGGTTATTGCGAGAGCGGTTGATAAAGGGATATGTCGGAAGAATCCATTCGTTTTCACTTAAAACGGTTTCGGTTGTCGCGATGAACAATTCGGAGACAAGAAGACCTAAGCCTTGATACCTGTTATCGAAAGGAGCTCAACGAACGAGTTTATGGCGAGCAAGCCTGCCCTAAATTGTACAACTTGAGGTCCTCCTGAGATGAGATTTAGATGTCAACCATGAAAATTTCAGGCGGGGGACCTTTTACTCTCACTTACTCTCAGTATATTCCTGTAACACATTTCCACCAGATCATAATTAGTTGTCATAAGTTTCGCTTTTTAAATTTGTTTACTGAGTTGTTTTCTTTTCACAGAAAATGCTGAAAATAAATCAACGATCGATGATTTACAAACTTCAAAGAATTCATCGGGTGAGTCAGTGTTTGGTTAATTACACATCTTTCTTTTACCCCGAGTATCTCTCGAGTCAGAGCTTTAGGAGAATCAAATTGATTCTGATATCAAAGTCACTCACCCTCCTTGATCGATGCTGAATAAAAGCTGTGTTACGTAGACCCCAAGCCAACCAGCTTTGCGTAAAGCGTTCGTACTAACGTTCCAATAGTACGAACATTGCACCTTTCGAGTCATGGGATATTATCTCTCGCACGATCACATTATGATTATGGACTAGACACATAGTATGAATGTGCAAAGTAATCCTCTCGAAGCATCACCTTGAAATTCCCAAATCTTATAAACTTTCCAAGATTTAAATGGAATTCATTCAATCGTGTACAATTAAGTTAATCATTTTTGTTGACAGCATCAAATGACCTATCGTCTGTTCAAGACATCCCGGGAAAAGGGCTGGCCGGACTCATAAAACCCATCCTCAACCAAGGTGAAATATTTCTCCTTTGCCTTTAACTTTGCAAAATTTCGCACGAATTAAGGAAAAGTGTCTTACTTGCAGAGCAAGTCGCCATGTTCAATTACTGAAAAAGATAAGTTTATGTTATCTTATCTTTGTTAGGAAGTAAATGTAACTTTTCTTCATAAAAATTCCAGGGTCGTGTCCCCCAATCAAGTCTCTAAGCTGTCTGAACCTACTCTATTCATTTCCATGTTCCAATGATGATGATTGTATCGAGAATGGTATGACATGCTGCAACACCAAATGTGTATATGGTAAAAAGATGTGTATTCCACGAGGTGAGTCGTCCAAACTTATTCATTCATTACTCAAATTCATGATGACGCGCCCTTGCCAGAAATTTATATTCAAGAGATCATATGGATCAATTAGATTAGGTAGATTATTTTTTATCGAAAGCCCGCGCATCAATTTAACATCTTTACCTGACTAAATCAGAAGGGAAAGACATAGCTTCCATTTGCTTTTTTTTGATACATGACAACTACACTTCATAAAGCGATATTTCGAAGGAGCTACCTAAATTTGGATATCATTTTGATCCTGTCTCTCTCCGTGTTAAGGTTGAAACTTTCTTCTGTTTTCTTAGTTTCAGCAGTTTGTCCGCTTAGAACTCCATATTACACTGGATTCCAAACATGCAAAGACTCAGGAGATTGTGGAACAGGAGGAGTGTGTTGCATGGATATGGCAGGAAGGCACTATTGCCATCAGCTCAGCTCGGTTGAATAAAAACCCTGTGAACGACAAAACGAACACATGAGCTCAGCATATCAACATCACAAGAGCAAGACCTTTTTCCTTTCATCACTCACGTTCGCCTTGGACACATCAATTCGGAAAGATTTTATGCGTTACCTCAAGAAAGAACACCTTTCGTCTTTCGTCGACGGCTTCAATGCGACAGCTCAATTTATGATTTCAAATGCTCGGACACAAGCTGAATCGTAACTCTGCTCAATATGTATATAAAAACCCATATTGCCTGTAGAAAAATGATGCTTTTTTGTATAATAATTATTTTCTGAACTCCATTAAGATAGCCAGGCGTGTCAAAAAACTAATACATACACTTCACTTCCAGGTTTAAAAATTCTCCCTGTCTGCCATGAATTTCTTACATTGAAGCAGATCTGATAATCTGGATTGTAATCTAGCGGTGTTTATGAGGCTTTATTCTCATCATCTGTATTCTTGACATAGTATTGAAATTTTAGAGAGAAATTACTTATTGGTCATTCCATGGGCTGAAAGGGTTAATAACGGAGATTTGCATCTGTTTGTCTAGTGAAACGAAGTCATGCTCTAGCCGGTGCACAAGTTGGAATTAAACAACTTGTCAGTATATATACATCTGATATCACCGCGGGATTTACCTTCAGTATAGGTTTAAATTCATTGCGGCAATTGTTAACGAGCTGCGCATTTACTGGATCACTAAAGAAATTATACATATATTTCAAATACATAAGTATATTTTATATCATGGTACAAAAATTTTTTAATGTGAATATAGTGTCACTAAAATAACATGTGATAGACTGATGCAGCTCCTAAGACGATGAAATGATGTTCAATTCAAGGTTTTGACGACTACAAAATCGTTTCCTACCGCTTTTTCGAAAGAATCTTCATTTACGAACTAATTTCGTGATATATTTTGCACATATATTTATTCACTTATGGAACCATGATCGTATCCACGAACCATAATCATTTCTTTGGCTTTTACTTACTTAAAGATGTAACAACGAGATTTGAAGATTATGACAGTCAAATTAAAGATGAATGATTTATACTAATTTTCCAGAACTTTACAAAAAAAATTGCATTTCCTTCTCGAACTCATTAATTCTCTGTTTTAGATAACGGTCTCTAAACCTTAAAAAGTTTCGTTCAGTTCTGAACCATAATAAAATCTGAAAAGCATACTGTTTTAAGGACGTATGATATTTTGCAGATACGTTTTTGTATCTGAAAATTACGCTGCGCACGCTTTTCAGTCCAGGAAGGAGAAAAGTACAAAAGCTTCTTTATTGCTTAAAATATCCGGCAATGATTTAACCCCTAAAACTAGCTGACTAACAAACATTTAACACCCATTCGGCGTAACAAATATCTATCATGTCGGCCAGTAACATGAGGTATGATCACAGCGGGTTCAATCTATCGACGATAACTGATTAGTTTCATTAATTTTCAGCTAATTTAATTTCCACCTGTATTTGTAAGTGTACTCGCGTAAGTTAAAGGTTTGGTCCCTTGCAATAATTCGCATCACTTGTGAAGTATGAATGATCAACAAAAATGATAATAAAAAAGTCACTTTTTTTAAAGAATTATATTCGTTATCAAGTCTACGTTGATTGATGGACACCCGCGGCCGCCTTGTAAATGTCTATGAACAATTTATCAATGTAGTTGCAATGAAACCTCAGCCGAAAGGTAATGCGTGCGTCGTTAGACCAGCAATCATTGTTATTTGGTTCTCCTCAATTCCAAACTCAAAATAGCGAAGTAATTACCAAGAGAGCAAACAAGCACTATTTACAGTGAAAAGTAATATACCTTACCTCGTGAAAGCTGACAGAATTTTCGCCACACTCAGTTATAAATATACGAAACGCATGCTAATGAAATTAATATTTAGCTAGTTATACATGTAATAGAAAGTGGCAAGCATCCGAAAAACGGCTGCAAGGGAGACTAGAGCCGACCGTTACCTAAAAGGTTTGCAGATCATTAAAAGAAGAAAAAATGACAATTTCCTCAAGATTGTTAACTTTCTTAGCTTTCTCTGAAAGTACAAAATGGTTATTTTTCATTGTTGAAATAGCGTAGGGTTGTGCTAACAATGTGAGTTCTGAGCTTAAGCACGACGCGCGTAGAAACTGAAGGTAAGATTCAAACCGTGCGACTGCAATCGACGTTTAACAAGCACAGCATTGAGTCTTTAGGTCATTCTTCTACACGGCATGATGGAATGAGCAATATTTCTAAATTTGGAGGCTTAATTAATTGCCAGGGTTTTTGTTTTGTTCCAAAGAAGAAACTTGCGTCGATTTCCTTCTCAAATTGAACTGTGTCTTGATTATTTTCGACATTAGTATGCGTGAGCGCCGAAGAGTTCTTGCTTTTATGATCTGTATTATTTTAGTTATCAAAATATTTTTCAACAGCATCAACCATTTAGAGTTAATTACCCCCGACAAGAAAGTGAAATGTCTTTTTATGGATTGAACGAAGCCAGAATGATAAAACCGAACTAGGATGGAAAGAGTTTATGAATTCAGTAAGAGTTGTAGAGAAGATATTTCTCGTATGTTTGCTAAAGAAAGCATTTCTTTCATGGGAAGCATGCGTTGGATTCCGCATTTTTCAGAGACGTCAGACAGTCTTCCAATATTCTTGGAAAGAATAAAGAAAATATCGAAATTCAAAATTATGTTGTAATGAGTTCATATTTAAAAGTCTTGCTTCCCACCCGAAACCGAAAGGAGATATTAAGCACTCATTCAAAACATTTGAAAAGGTTCTCATACAAAACTTGACCAATATTTTTTACTTCCTCTACAATTGTCCTTTTATGGTATCGCTGTAATCTTACCTCTTTCGAATTGGTTCTTAACCCTCATAATGAAGGTGTTTACAGCTTTCATTTTTTTACGTTAGATCAGTACTGAAAGTGACTTCGCTTCTGAAAGGCGCTCACGGAATCTCATAATGTGTATATCAGGGAAAAATGTCATGGAGAAAAGCCAGCGACTGGCCGCTGCTGTCATTTGTGTCATTATCCTGACAATCATGAGAGTCTTTTTCACGATATTATTCTTCATTTCCAGTGTCATTTGTATTTTACATGCAGAGAGCCGCGTTGAACGGTGCGATGGTCATCTTACCCTCTCTCAAAAAGCAGTTGACAGTCTCAACACAACTAGCACCTTTGTGGAGACTGCTGTGTCCTCATTTCTCATTTTTCTCATCTTTCGATGGAAGCCGTTTAACTTCAGGAACTTTCTCAAGGCTCTTCCAAGACAAGGACACTTTTGGATGTGGGTTGCTCTGTGGATTGCGCGAATTTTCACAAACGTTCTAATAGGAATTATCCCAGGCATTCAGGAGAGCTACTCGGTTCTCATCGTCCTTGGTTTTTCGTTGCCATTAGAATTCGCTTTGACAACAGTTTTCGCTTGTGCGCTGGCATTTGTAGGTTTTGACAATGTAAAAGCTTGGCTGTATCAACACTTTCCCACTAAAGCCGCACGCAAGTTGACATACTTGTACAGAACAATTTTGTTTACATATGGCCTTCGAATGCTTGCTTTATTCCTGTACGACTCGTTTCTGGTAGCAAGGCATATCACCCGCCAAAGTGAGTACCGGGAGCTTGACAGCATTCTTTTAGCTTTGGATGTATTCTATAGAGGGAGTTTGTGCGTCTTCTTCTTCCAGAAGTTTTTTGAGTTCCCCATACCGGATGTCTTACAAAAAACTTTCGAAATTAAGAGGCCTGAGGAAACGGATGAGCAGTTTAGCAAATGTAATGAAAGTCTTCGCTCGGGGTCCCCGGAAAAATTGGAGGACCGAGAGCTGGAAGAAAAAGAAAATGACTGTATGTTCGGTGGATCAGATGTACTCTCGCGGAAAAAAGATAAAGAGGTAGAGCATATGGAGTGAGAAAACAGCTCCACAACTGTTATTGTTCGATCGAATTTAACTGAGAAGCCATGAAATAGATTTAAGCTCTTAAAAAGTGGATTTTACAAGTAGAACTGAAGAAATGCAATTTTATCACATTTCATTTGATGTGCATAAGAAAGAGCTATGCCTGACTAATGTATCTGAGTTTCAACAGGCTCGCTTACGTTTCCATAATGGACGCTTCCTTGGTATTAAGGAAATCTTTCTCTCTTTTTTGATCTTAGGGTGGCTTCCCTTTGTTCTGTTTTCCTCTTGAGATCACAAATTTTTTGATAGAAGTTAAAACTATTTTGGGCTCAGCCGGTTGCATTATATTGTTTTCCTCCGAATGCAGGACTTGGTGCTGCGTGAAAGAAAATGTAAGAAGTGACCGCCATCATGCAGAATTTTTACGAAAATAAATGGAAAAGTTCGTAGATATCTGCAAAAGGCAACAAAAGTAGAGAGAAGGAAAAACTGAGATTATACATTCTCAAACTTTTTTTGATCACGGGTATTCTCTTGATTTACCATGTTCTTTCGAGGTTTACTGAAAAAGAAATATAATACGCTTTTGAACGCCATGAGTTACTGGCTTCTGTGTATCCTGTGAGTAGGCTATACACAACCCCTCGCAGACCTCTCGCACGCTCGCACGCTGGTATTGCTCCCCGCCTCCAAACTAGCAATCTTTGTTGCTTCTAATGAGAGGCTAATCAAAGGTTAGCTTTTATATTTGTTCATAGCCTGTGTGAGAGAGCTTAGTTCTAAAAAAGCCTTAAAGATCAGTGTCAAGCCCCTTCCTAATAATCTCAAATTTTTCGCATTTGCAAACATAGGACCACTGTGTTTCCATTATCAGGTCATGGGAAGGCCCTCGGTTGGTTTTCCTTAGCATCCGTTTAATAATAATAATAATAATAATAATAATAATAATAATAATAATAATAATAATAAATTTATACAAGAGGCGATCTCACAATTGGTTTCCAGAACGGCCCTGTAGAGAATATTATAACTTATAGGTTGCCAGACATAGTTTGATGCTACTCTGGTTTGCAGATTTAATGAATGTAACCAAAGAAGTTACAATTCATAGACCCAACGTTTCGACACTCCTGTCTAGTGCCTTCATCAGGGGTGATCTAAACGCTGCAACAAGAGGTCCTTTTATATGATCACTAATTAGCGGCCTTTTTTTCTGACGAGGTGTAGCCACAACGTTAAAGTTGCTCATAAACCTTTTCAGACTTTGGGGCATATTTTCGCCAAACCTAAGGCTCCTGTCACGAAAGAACAACGAACCGACGCCATTCATTCTATTCCTTGCAATGACTGTGACAACGAATACATCGGACAGACCAAACGCCAGTTTGGTACACGGTTAAAAGAGCACCAAAAAGCGGTTTTTCTTTGCAAAAAGGAAAATTCAGCTTTATCGGAGCATACATGCTTAACCAACCATACAATTGGGTGGGATAATTCTTAAATTATTACCACTAATCGGCGTTACCACCAGCGCCTTTGTTTGGAGGCTTGGCATATTAACTCCGCCCACGCTCCTTTAAATCGTGACGATGGCGGTTTGCTTCCTGATGCCTATTTACACCTCGTCAGAAAAAAAGGCCGCTAATTAGTGATCATATAAAAGGACCTCTTGTTGCAGCGTTTAGATAACTCCTGATGAAGGCACTAGACAGGAGTGTCGAAAAGTTGGGTCTATGAATTGTAACTTCTTTGGTTACATTCATTAAATCTGCAAACCAGAGTAGCATCAAACTATGTCTGATTGTCCAGTCCACCTGGTTGCCATGTGAACTTTAATATATTTTATAGGTTGCCTTTTAAGGATGCCACGGAATTTTCCTGAAAAATAAGTTTCACAACCGAACTGCATTCCCTCTTTTCTTCTGTGATTTGTCTCCAGTCTATTAAAAAACCTATCACATGCTAGATAAGTGCGAACGACATAAGATTCCTCCCAAAAGTGTAGATGAGGCCTATGATTTATCAGTAGTTAGGGCTACTAATTTCCCTTACGGTAACATGAATTCAATTTTGTTTGTATACAAAAACGGACGGAGTCTTCCAAAACAATCTGTTTCCAGCGAGATTAAGCAACAGGATCAAACTTGACTATCAAATGTAGAGTTGAAGACTACAGACTGGAACTCAGAAAACGAAACCAATCCCGTACCCTCCCTACTTAGTAACATTTTCTAGACTCACATGACATCTCTGTAAGATTTTCAAGATGGCGTCGCAATCTCAAGGAATTCAACAACTGTTACAGGCCGAGAAAAAGGCTGAGACCATGGTGTCTGAAGCTCGAAAACGTAAGAAAATACATTTAAATATCTCTTTTAATATATTTTATCAAAATTTTTAAAGAAAAAGGCAAAAAATACAAATATTGCCGCAAACCAGTGATGACGGAAGATGGTAAACCATCAGCCCAAGGCACAGTGGTTGTTTTTAAACTTGTGTTTTAGCAAGTGGTGCTACAGATTATGGAGCCATTTTTGAATAGGGTTAACTTTTTAATAAGTTTTTTTCAATTCAGGGTGATAAAGAGATTTCAAAAGTTACGTTTACATGATCTTGGCCGCAGTTCTAATTTTGGCTCGAAAGTTACCCTCACTGAACGAGCTTTGTATTCTGTGATAATTTGGTTTTATCATCTGAGTTGACAGTGTAACATGGCCATCGTAAATAATTTCTAAAGCTGACGTTTCGAGCCTTAGCTCTTCGTCAGAGCTACTGAGGTAGCGATCTGATTCAGTTATGGTAAAATATTTCCCATGCTTGAAAAGATAACTGGCTGATTTTTTCTGTCATTAAAACTCTCCCCAAATTTTGCTCGTGTTTCGCTTCACCACATCTCCGTTTTAAGTAGAAAACGGTCTTGTTCTCTATGCATAGCACAGTTTTTACATTGTATGTAGCTGTCCTAAAGTCAAATAATAATTATTTGTATTGAGGCCTCCAACATTTACATGTAGGTAGTGAAACTCCCTCTTATGGTTTCATGTTTTGTATATTTTTCAATTTATTTAGGATTCTAGAAATTTTCTTAAGACATCAGTGTTTCCCACAATAAGAAATGTTGAGAATAATGAAATCCTTGAAATGGGAGTAAACCTATGTCATGAAGTGTTTGGGTGAAAACTTTGAATCAATTTAGGAAACAAAGAAATTGAAACTTTAGCAACCTCTTGATTAGGGTCTCCCATCTTCCAAAATTTAGCTAAGCTTGAGCATTTTTGAACCTATTTCATTAAATCTGTCCCACTGCAAAATATTATATTTATTTCCTGTCAGGTAAGACTAGAAAGTTGAAAGAGGCTAAAGAAGAAGCACAGGCTGAAATCAGGACTTACCGCGGAGAACGTGAAAAACAGTTTCTGAATTATCAACAAGAGGTACTTCGATGTGTTTATTTTTCTTTTGTGCAAGCTGTAACACTTACACAAAATACAGATACAATTAGCAATGTGCTGTAGTGAGAATTGTTAAGATCTAATTTGTGATATTTCTTAAAACAAAGTTCCATGTTAGAAAATAGCCAAAATGCAGGTTTTGAGTTTTTCATAGTGCAAGCAAGTACTATCAATTGTTTTATTTTTTTAAAACTTTTCATGTTCATGAGGGAAACTAACATGAATGGCAAGGTGTTCACTAAGAACTGGAGATAACCGATTTCCCAATTCCATGAGAAAAAATTATCTGGCTACATTTTAATCTTTAATTTACCCTTAGTGACCAAAACAGACTTTCTCCTTACAATATCTACACAATATTAAGCAAACAATTGATAAGAATAAAGAAAAATATCAGTTAGGTATTATTAGCTGGTGTAATACTGAATTCTGCAAACTAACATTATAAGACAAATGAATAAAGGGGGTAAGTTTCTAAAGAAGCTGTGGTGTTGTGTTGGTGGGAGAGTATAACAAGGTAATTTAGTGTTAACAACTGAGTTGATAACATAAATTGCCACTGTCAAGAGTTTCATAGTTGACGTTTTGAGCATTAGCCCTTCTTCAGAGTGAATGGAGAAATTGTGGGTTGTGTGCAAGTGTTTATACGCAGAAAATGGAGCTTTGCTATTAGTGGGAATATGGTGACTAAAAAACGAGAATAAATTAATCAAGTGAAAAGCAATAATTGTTACTATGGGGATTGAGAGTGCAGATTTGGAATGTTGGGAGTGAGAGGGTTAATGGACCAAGCTGTTCTTATTGAGACATGGAGTGGTTATGTAATATATTTTCCTGATGCTTTTCACTAATTTCCTGTCTTTACATTTTTTAACTTAACCTTGAATACAGTGATTGAATATCTAAATAAGAGCAAAATATCAATGCTTTTTTTTTATACAAAGAATTCCAAACAACTGAACATGAATTTCCATCTTTGTGGATTAGCTATTTGAAGGCCTTGTGTTACTTATGAAATTCAACACATTTGATGCAATTTTTTCAACAGCACATGGGGTCCAAAGATGATTTTCAAGCTAAAATCGAGGAACAGACAAATGTGAGACTTGACCAAATCAGTGAAAGTGTGAAGAAAAACAAGGAGGAGGTTATTCAGAGGCTTTTAACTCTTGTATATGACATCAAACCTGAACTGCACCAGAATCTGAGGACATAAGCTCTGATGATAAAATTTGGCAAGAACTTTGCAAAGAATAATGATTAATATTGTATTATGTTCCAAGATGTGGGAATATGTAATTGAGTGAATGAGTGTTTGTCTTTTCATGTGGACAATGTATTAGCTATGAAACTGTATGATTTATCCTGCAAGTTACAGAAGAATGGGTTTTCAGTTTGGCAAAATGTTGCTTCATTTGAAAATTTTGTGGATAAAAATACTGGCAAGAAATATGCCATAATGATATAATGAAGGTATTTGATTGTTGTTAGCTATGATTTGAACATTGTGAGGTATTTGCAAGTAGGAAATTAAAAGGAAAAATAATAATATACACCTAAACAGATCCTGAAGTTAGTACTTTCTCTGAAGATTCAGCTCTATTTCATTTCCTCTTCTTAGAGAATTTGAGAACTGATATCCCTGTCTTTCCGTAAAGGTTACCATTAAATAGGAGAGGCCTTAATGTCAATGTAAACTTATACATGTACCTCTTTAGTAAATATTGTTTCCAGGTAAGCCATCACCTCCAGCTGATCCTGTTGATGCTATTACAATAAAACTACATATTATGATCAACGGTAGTTTTATGCCTGCTATCCTATGTTACATTCAGTTTGGGAACATTAATGTCTCACATGACCACATATTTTTGAGGCAATTTCTCTGTAAAAATTTTTATTGTTTGTTGTACACTCAAGGAGTGTTTTGCACAGTATTGATGTCCTATCCTTCTCAATTTAACTAGCATTGTTAATTGCAGACAATCCAGTCCACCTGTACAGGAAAGTCAGTTTCACTGATTCTTCAATTATTTAATTTTTCCAGTGATTTGTTCAACTTGTTCACAAGTGTGATGTTTTTCAAACTTAAACCAAACCCACCATTTTGTTTTGCAGAAAGGAAATGATATGTTTAGTTAATATGTAAGTGACTCACAAAAACAGATAAAAGGAACTTAAGTTTGTTCTCTATAACCCACCACCTTCATTGATTCTTAAGTAAGGGCACCAATTTGATGGTAATTAAAGATTACTTTACATGGCGGCCTTCCTGCTCACACCTTTATTGCTCTTCTTTTTTCTTTGACCCTCAAAAACTATAGACAAGTAATTATTTTGTATTGTATGAGAGTTGGATGAAAGCAACAACATGAAGTCTAAGGTAGGGATGGCAAATTTATGTGTTTGCTCACAGCTTCCTCCTCAAGCCAATAGAACAATCTTGGCGGGTTTTTACGTGAACTCCAATTTTGATGCGCATGTACTTGTTGAATTGTGTGCCTCAGGCTACATGAAAACATCAAAGTGGGACAAAGCAAAATCTTTGTAACCCAAATGGATAATTGATACTCTTAGGATACCATTGAGGAACAAGAATATTTGTTACTGACCTCAAAATATTTTTCAGCAACAGAGTTCAGTTATTATTTTATCTTCCAATTACTGAAGAGTGGGTTTTGGAATTATTTGCAGGGAATCATTTGCTTAAAGTTTAGGGTATGCATCAAATGATAGAGAAGATTCTTGCTCTTGAAATTGTTTCACTTATTTGCCTCTTTATTTACCTATACTCTTCAAAAGACAAGACAAGAATCCTTTTGTTATACATATATTTGATTTGTGATTCTAGAAAAAAAAAGGTTGCCATAAACTGCAAATATCCTAATAACATTCCATAGAGATGTTAAAAAGAAATACTGATTAGGAACAAACATACCCCCACCTACAAAAGAATAAACTAAGACAACAAAAACCTTTAAGTAATCTAAATTTTTAAACTTAAATTGATGATGTCTCTTAGAAACAACAATGACCAGAGACCCTGTTGTGGTTCTAGCTTAATAGTACAATCTATCATTGTGTGGAACTCTACCATAATTAAAAATGGTAATCTTTATAGTCCCTATACTCCAAATTCCAAGTAAGTATAATTTTACAGCTGTACTGTATAACCTGTACTACAATATATCGTTAGTCTATAGACTACAGTGTCGCTATGGAATAAGCTGGGGTCTGCTGAGCTATTTAATAGAAGTCAAGTAAAAGCAATATAGTGCCTAATCAAGTTATATATCATTCTTATAGTGCAAAGATGGAACAGGAAATAACTTACTGCTTTTCTAACTAGGAAGGGCAAAATGTTTCTTTGATTCTATCTAGTGTGAATAACATAAAAAGGTTTTGTACATAGAAAATTAGCCAACCAGTCCATTAGTACTTGTTGTTTTCAAGAGAAATATGAAATTTTTCTTCAAAGAATACATCTTTACTTTAAAGAAAAATCAGAGCAAAGTCACTACTGTCTTCACTTCCATTGTTGGGTTGGATATCCTCCAGGATGATATGGAGGTGGTGCCTGTCCCATGGGGTAAGAACCATGTGGGTAATGCTGGTACCCTGGTGCTGCTTGTGGAATGGTTGTCACTGTCGCACCTGGTGGGACATTCAAAATCTGCACCCCTGGCCCTGGAGGTGTGACATAGGTAGTGGCTGTTGTTTGGTATGCAACTGGCCGCTGTACAACAACAGCACCAGGACGTGAAGGCCGACCAAACAAGGCACCACAAGCACTGTCAACTACAGATGCAACACCACTTACTGCACCGTCAACAGCTCTGTAAAGTGGGTCGTTGGGATCCACACTCGGCTTAGGTCTACCGTATGGATAAGGATTGCCTGCTACAGCGGGGTTCACAAAGGCAGGCGGTTGTGGAGGAGGCATACTTGCCCTCCTTTGCATAATAACGCTGACTCGCTGCCGATCTTTCATGAAGGAAAATACGTCGTTAAAAACAAGAAAGTTCAGTGGATCGGTGACTTGTACAACGACCAGCTCAAGCGCCTGAATCTTGTTTTTGTCGAAGGAAAAAGCCCTCAGAATCGACGTTACGCTGGCACACGTCGCTGGCAACATTTTCCCAACACAAGCTTGCAGTCCTCTAAGGCGATCATCGTCAAAACCGAACTCTCTCATCAGTTCTCCGACTTGCTCTGCGTAGAAATATCCTTGAGCATAAGCAATTGCTTTCACTTTATCGTCTTTGAAAGGAAGGCGTTGAACCTCTCCTTTCACCATTCCAAAAGATGTAGGATCCATCTCACGATATCTTAAGAACCTGACTTTAGAACAGGAGCAAATAAACAGCGGTACTGGGAGAGATTTATCAATCTACGCTGTGGAATCTGTTCTATATAGTAGCTTAATAGAACAATCTCTATATTCTTATCAGTGATTCCGCGAAAATATGCTTACATCATCATCTACTTTTAGCACATACGCAGCTGAAACACTCACAATAAGTTACAAACCATACCAACACATGCTATTTTGGCCGCGCCTTGTAAACTCAGGTCAAGAGCGTGGGGCCTTGTATTGTGTCACTTCCTCGTCATCGCTTGGGTTCCTCTTCGTAAATTAATCGGAAACCGAAAGTCAAACGAAGATTTAAAAACATGGTTGGACGTGTAATGGCTCGACTGTGATTATATCATGAAACTCTAGTATGTGGAACTTGTTGCTGGGACAGTATGGAAACTCAAGCTCTGACGAAATGTTTGAAGACTGTTTTTAAGCATAGTGATTTCAAATCAAAACTCCAAAAAGAAGCGATAGAATGTCTTTGTGAAGGCAAGCCACTTTTATAGCCAAGTCTATCATATTAATTTTAAAAAGCCCGTGATATTATTTATTGAAGATAAATTTAAAACATTCTTAAATTAGCAAGACTCCGAAGTGATCAGGTCTGTATCATACTTAATTCCAAATGACAGATTTGTTGTCATCTGGCAGCTTCTGTAACAGCAGGAGTATGCAATAATTAACTGAGTGGCATTTAAAAATTTTAGAAAGTTTGTGTAGAAGACAGGTTTCAAATTCTCGCTGAAGACTCGTTCATTTCGGAGATTAATTTTTGCATGATTACACCCATAGAAATCTGATCATTTGTCATTATATCTTATACTTGGAGATGTAAAATATGTAGTTTTCTGTCTGTTAGTATTTGTGCATGTTAATTCGTTTAAATTTATGAAGCATTGGGATTTATGTAATGCTATATTTAACAATCATTCGCCAAAGAGGAGGTGAATAGTAGTGGATTAATACCGAGAGGTGACGTGGTGAATTAAATATCCACTACTCACACTGATGTTCACATAATTGTTTTAGTATACATCACACAGATACCAAAAAATTACCTTATTTCTTTCAATACATAAGGAAATGGTAGGAAATTAAACTCTTTACACATGACTTTGTCTCATTAGCTGTTCAGAAGTTGATAATACTTGCTATTCACTTCTGAACTAGAAAGTAGATTATTCAATTGTGTGGTATATACTAAATTATATTATTATGTCATTCTTAAGACTGGGGCCAGATAATTCTGCAACATATATAGTGTATCGACCTGTGCAAACAAATGTTTTATTTCAGTTATGAGTCCAGAGTAATCAAGGATTGGGTTAGGTTTAAATTACAAGGCCCTGTAATTGGTCTAGAAAACTTCCCCAACCCTCTCAACCAATCAAATGCAAACAAAGACCAATGGCAACTTGAAATCACTGGCATGCTCTACTGTTAGAACACATTAACGATCAAATTACAAGGACAGAGGTTACCAGGACAATTTTCTTCATATGCTATAGCATGCAGAATTTTTGTAACAAGAGAAATTTATTGAGAAATTCATTTTTTTAGCCTCTACACAAGTACACAAAATCTCGCACTCTAAATAATAATGACTGAAATATTCTACAAAGAATCAAAGGAAGAGATCATGTATTTTGATAATTTTTTTTTTTCAAATGTTATTTTTTGTCAAATAGATATATTCAAGTGGAAGTTGTTCATGTAGAATTAAATTGGAAATTTCCATTTTTGGACTTCATTGTCAAAAAATATCTTTTTTCAAACAGGAAAACAAGATGTTTTTGTGTCCATGCCTACTGGATCAGGAAAGTCACTTTGCTATCAACTTCCAGCAGTTGTGGCTGAAGGAATAACAGTTGTCTTTTCTCCTCTGATTGCCCTGATTCAGGATCAAGTATCACACTTAAAATCACTCTCTATCAAAGCTGAAACACTTAACTCAAAACTTTCAGCTACTGAGAGAAAGAAGGTGTATTCAGAAATTTATAAACTGAAGCCTTTGATCAAGCTTTTATACATCACTCCCGAACTTGCAGCAACACCTGGATTTCAGAAAGTGTTAAGCTCTCTGCACAAGAGGAAGCTTTTGTCATACTTTGTTGTGGATGAAGCACATTGTGTGTCACAGTGGGGACATGACTTCAGGCCTGATTACCTGAAGCTTGGTTCATTGCGAGGACAGTTTAGTGATGTACATTGGATTGCCCTCACAGCAACTGCTACACCTCATGTTCAAGAAGATGTGCTCTCCTCTCTCCAGCTCCACAAACCCACAGCAATTTTCAAGACTTCTTGTTTTCGGCCAAATTTATTTTATGATGTTTGGTATGTAGAACTGACCATTGGAATTTAAGAGGTCTGATCCTTGTAAATTTAAAAAGTTACAACTTTTCCTTTTAGCTAAAAGAAAGTTTCCATATCAAATCTCTTTCTAACTGAATTATTTCTGATACATTTGTGCTTTAGGATATTAATTGTGCAATGGCTGTTTCTTGTAATAAGTTTTTTTTTTTGCATTTAAAGTTTCAAAGAACTTCTTGATGATCCATATGCTGACCTTAAGGGTTTTGTTGAGTCAGCATTATCAGAACAGGACAACAGTGGAGATGGGGTAAAGGTGATTTCTAAGTAATGTTATTACACACTTCTCCTCCAAACTAATGTGGTGAAACTTTTCAGACTGAATGTACTCTTTCTTTTAATCCTTCACTTGCCAATAGGCCTCTCTCTATAGTAATTCTACTCCTCCTCCCTTTTCCTACAAAATAATGAAAAAAAGTTATAGACTTATTGCTATTAATTTGGGTTTTTAGTGGCATCACAGTACAAATTGTATTTTGTATTTGAACGCCTGTATAGGTTTTTGATTTACACACTCTGTGTTTTCAACAAAAGACTGAAATGTGTAGTGTGTATGGTTCAATATGGGTGGCAATTTTGAAAATAGTTAATGACTCCCATTTAGGCTCCCAGAGAATTTTGATTAGCCATCCTCCACCCTATTAAGCTGTCCATCTGTGGCCTTGGAAATAAGTAAGCCCTGCCTCTCTTCTCTAGGAGCTTGTCAAATCTGATATCTAATCTCCTCTTTCATTTATTGACTTTATCCTTTAGGGTAGTGGTATTATTTACTGTCGTACTCGTGATGCCTGTCAAGAAGTGGCTTCAAGGCTGTGTAGAAAGGGACTCTCTGCAAAAGCTTATCATGCAGGTATGGCTGCACCAGTTAGTTTTAAGTGTAAAATACAGTATTAGTAAATTTTTATTGATTCTGAGGTACATGCTAAACACCCTAAATGAGCACACACATGTCATTTTCCCTAACCTGTCATCCTTAATGCCAGAAATACTTTAATTCTATGTTGCTGTTATTGGGTTGGAGGCCTAAAACTCTTGCACACAGGCTGAGTGGCTTGCATGGCTGGAGTGTATCTCAGTTTCCATATTGAGTGAGGTGACTTGGACTATTGTTTCTCTCCCTGCATTGGATGCTTGGTTAAGAATGTTACCCTTAGAATTTCATTAGGTTTCACTGATAGTTTACCAGTATGAGTATATGAATAAATCTTTGGTGGGTGGATAGGGCAGTGTGTTTTGTTAACACTAGCTCATCTGTTGGATGGTCATTTATTTGTTGGATAATGTCATTCTCCACCCTTTGATTAACAGAGCCCTTGATGGGTGCAATCAATGTAGCATTGCATGGGTTTGTTTCCCCATCTTTCACTTCAATTCAGATTCTTTTTTATTTCTAAAATTTCCTGAGTATGTTTCTATAAAGTATGATCTTTGGCACTGGCACAGATTGTAATGCAAGTGTTTGACACAGGTTTGAAACCAGCTAAACGAGATGAGGTCCAGCAGGAGTGGATGGATGGAAAAGTTTCAGTTATTGTGGCTACTATAAGTTTTGGTATGGGAGTTGACAAATCCTCCGTGAGGTAAATAATCTTTTTCTAGACAAGTGTATTGGATATATATGCTATTAGCCTTAATTCTAAGTGGCCATTACTTTTTTTTTAAATTTTGTTTTCTTAAATGTCAAGAGATGATATTCTGACTAGAAGCTTGTAGGAAAGGGGAGAAGGTACCATTGAAGGTTACTAAAAATTTGGACTGTGAGACAGTGGTTATAAGGTTTTCATATTGTAATGGTAAACATCACTGCAGAAAATGCATAGTTTTGTAAAAATGTTTAGCAACAATTTCGTTTTACCTTACAGGAAGACATTAAGATGACATGCATTGATCATTTTTTGGAATTTTTTCTTCTTTACTAAGAGACACCTTCTTATTTTCAGTTACAGCTCATCAACTTTTTGTCTTTTTGTCACTATTCCAGATTTGTTGTGCACTGGACATTGCCACAGTCAATGGAGGGGTACTACCAAGAGTCAGGTAGAGCTGGAAGGGATGGAAAACCTTCCTTCTGCAGATTGTATTATTCCAAGTGAGTCAGAGTGATTTGTGATGTTTCCTGTGTGGTCAATGAAAATCTATATAATTTTGTCTTACCTCTACTGTTAATTACCTATCACCTTTTGTACTATTAAAAGCATTTCATGATATCCTTATTAATGAAGTAAGTCTCTCAGAAGAACTGGTAGTGATTGTTACAAGGAAATTGATTGGAATTTCATTTATTTTTGCCCCTGATTTCAGGCTTGAAAGGGATCAAGTATTTTTTCTCATCAAAAAGGGAATCAAGGAAAAGAAGGTAGAGGTTTAGATCTCAGATTGCATAGTATTCCTCAAAGAGTACAAGATTAATGGGACAAAAATGTTCCCAAAGTACAACCTGTAATTGCAGTTCTGCCCGCAATTGAAAACTTTCAAACTTCATTGTGCTCGTAGTTTTGAAGTTGGAAAGTGATGTACATGTTCCTTAAAATTTGATGGTGATTGAAGATTTCCCTGTTTGAAAGGTTATTTTTTATAATCCACAACTGGAGAAGTATGTCAGGATTTATTAAACATTACACAGAAGCACGCTGTAGTTATCAGGCTCGCTGTACACGCATTTGATAATTGTTGACAAACTTGTGGATTAGATGCGTTTAGGTTTGTGCTAGGGCTAAGGGTTCTACACATTGCCAAAGCTTATCTCATGTTTGCACATGGTCATTGCGAAGAACGACTCTCTGAAAAAACCTTTTGGCCAACAATTATCTTTTGAAAAAAATTATGCAACTAGGAGGGTAAATACTCTTTCTGGATGGGTTCCTTGTCTATCACAAGCTGTTTCCGTTACGATTTGCCATTAGTTTACTGCTTCCAATTTGTTATCCTTGTAAGATCGAGGTAATGTAAGGGTTAAGTGTCTTGCTCAATCGCCCGAGAAATCAGTATGCTACAACCATGTGGAATAGGCCAAGAGCAGTTCCCTCTGTCCATACTAAATGTCACTCTGCACGAGTCCAACCAAATTCGATACTTTGCGCAACATGACTTAATAGCATAGCTTTTTCTGTACGTGGGGCGTAAGGTAAACTTTTCTAAATTGCAGTTTGTTTTCTTGTAGCAAAGTGCTTTGTCTACTGGAAGGAAGGATGACGCAGTGCAGTCTAGTTACGAGGCAATTGTAAAATATTGCGAACAACCCAGGTAGGGACAATGATATTTTAGTGTTTCCTCTGCGTTAGTGCTTGTTTACTCTCAACATCTCTGACCGAGAGAAAGTTTATGACAATAGTTAGTATTTTTTTTACGATGTAAGAATTTGATTTAAAATGTTCATTGCCTTTATATTCCAGCTGTAGACACGCTACGATTGCGTCTTATTTTGGAGACAGCAAACCAAAGGTTCGTCTATGTACAGCTTACTAAGTGCTTTGTTTATTTCGTTCGCTTGTTTATTTCTTTGTTTGTTTTTCGAAACGTACTTGATGCTCACTAAAATACGCAATTGTTAAGAGGAGAATCTGGTGGATACTAAACCCCTCTCAGATTTGCGAGTGTAGGTGGCCGAGAATCAACCAATGGATCTCGGCATATCAAAGTTAGTGTGGAGTATCGTTGAGAAGGATGTTACATTTCTTCAAAGTATAGTGTGCTTAGGCGTTCATGAGCTAGTCAACGTAGAGCGCGGTTTGATTAAGCGTGTTTACACCAGAGCCCAACAGCCAATCAGAACCAAAGAGAATTCATAATTAAGCTCAAGCGCGGGAAAGCGCAAGTGACCAAGTCGCGACTAGTTTCATTCTTCCATTTGATTGGTTGAGGGGTCACGTGAGTTACGAAACCATCACAGAGCTTTTTAAAGCGAAACCAAAGCGATCATGGTGGGCCTGTAGCGTATGGAAAACCATGCTTAATCCTTGCCATGTTACCCTTTTTCAAAATGGAGTTCCTCGTCTCTTTATTCACAGTGTCCCAAAGGCTGTGACTACTGTAAAGATCCTGATGCAGTAGACAATCTTGTGGATCACTGGCGCCGCGGAGTTATAGCAGTTCGCAACAGGAACGTGACCGCTGGAAGAACGTACATTGCTTACGGTCTGTCGAGCGGAGAAGATGATGAGCTTTATGGAGGAGGAAAGTGGGGATACGACAGAAAGTAAGAATATATAACATATGTAAGACATGAGGTTTGAACTCTTCTTAGTCCAAACAGTAGTTACGGTGAAATTTTAAGAAAAATTCAAAGTGAAACTTTGATAGGTCGTAGAGAAATAAATTAATGTATATTCAAAGGAAGTGTAGTCCGCAGTTTCAATAGATGCAACTTTAGTGTTGGCTCTGGAGCAAAATGGTTGAGGCCTTTTGAGATGGTAATTAGTTTTCTTAAGAAAAATGACTGTAGATGCTTTACCAGTGATTTCTTTGAGACGATTTATGGTGTTTCATCGTGCGAAAAGGAGTACTTGCTGAAAATAACAACCAGTAGCTTACGCCGTTTAAAAATCTAATTATTTCTATCTGTCGCCGGGGTAGATTTATCTTTTGTCACTGGTAAGGCAGTGGTGCTGAGTTGAGAGGGAGTAACGTATTGTTCTGTTACTTCTTCGCTGTTACGGAGCGCGCTCGAATAGTCCTGTGATATCTTGATGCTTGGAATTTCCAGGGTATTTGAAGACGAAGACAATGATGATGATAGCGGTGCAGGAGCCAGTGAGGAGGAACGTGCTTTCCGATGTAAATTGATCGCGGATGAGTTCAGGAAACGTCGCAGGGTAATGTTAACGATGAAGACGCAGTTACGTTACCAACACGAAAGATACTTTTCAACAAAAAAACTTGTGCGCTTTAAGAACGCTTTTCAATTGCGTGTGTAAAGCGAAAACCAATGTACTCACAGCGGTCAATCAGAGCAAAGGAATTACTCACAAGGTGACAGAGGGAGCTAAAAGTAAATACAAGCCAATTGTCTGAGTTGCGGAAAAACGAAAGTAACCAGGTCGCGATTGGATTAAGTTTTGCATTTGGTTATTTGAGAGGGTGACGCGAGTTTTCTTGACCAATCAATCAAAAGGCAAAGTGGAGCAAAATCCAAATAATCCAGGAGCAAAACAGAGCACAGCAATCTAGAGCAATCTGGCCTGAAAGGTTGAAATATGGTGGTACAATACTTGAAAACGTTATTCTATGCGCAGTCAACGTCCCACAATGATAGCACTTGCCTTAACTTATCATTCGAGGAAAGACGTAGTTTCTCGCAAAGTCTTAACTCTCGTTTGGAAGTTCTTATTTCTTTTGAGGTAAAGATTTTTTTCTAGCAAAACCTGGCGTCTCCTTTTTTTTACCTCCACTGTATTGCTAGTTTAGCTTCGTCGCTAAATAAATACTAGCTGTCTTAATCTCCAAAGAAGAGAAAAATTACAGCCTCAGACTCACAGTTGTGTAATTAAGTGTTCAGCACTTTACTTAATTGAGTAACATGTAGTATTCAGCTATTTTTAGTAAGTGCAAAGTTCAGCATCAAAATTCATTCTTAATCTCTCTTCTTTACTTGTCCAGGGACAGCCTCAGTTCTCTTCGATCAGTCACCAATCACCTAGTAAGTTTAATGATAAATTCTTTGGAGTTAAAAGATCGTAGTTTCCTAATAAAAAAGCAAACCAGAGCTATTTTCGCAGAAAATGCAGGATTGCAGTTATTTCTCAGATGGAATCGTAAAAATCTCGCATTCATGGGAGTACCTTTGTTAAGCTGGATCTGTACCTTTCAAGAAGAATTTCAATCATGGATGCTTGCGATGTGAGTTCGGTTGTTTGTGCTTGCGACAAAGCACCGAAAAATATGGCAGACCTGACCGACGGAAGGGCGCTAATCAAAGACCCTCTATTAAAAAATCCTGGCCATGCCCTTGCAGTACCAACCATATTTTTTCGTTTTTCGTTTGCAATAGGTCCTGACTGTCGTCTCAAAGAAGCGACAAATTACTTACATATTCCAAAGCTCTCCGTCCAGGTAGGATTGTAAAGTCTGGGTAAATCTCATCATCGTGTAGAACTTGTCTCAAAAAAGCTTCTTCCGGCTCTGCTCTCTCCATGTCGGGAAGCAGTGTGGCCGTCAGCTTTTGAGGCGGACGAGCTCTTTAGACCAAGAAATTGTTAACCCTTTGTATGCAGTCACTATATCCCTATTTTTGTTTCAGGTGAGAGAACATTGTTTCGGTCTGTTGGACGAAGCAATGAAAGCAAATATAAATCAATGTGCCAAAATGGACAATTCTGCAAGGTGTGCCTAAATATGATCATGAATTTGTTCTGTTACCAAACAAACTTGTAGTCTTGCATGTGTAACAGCCTTAGAGTTTCAAAACTTGTCCTAACCACATCACTTTGTGCACTAAGCTTGTAAGTTAAGATGGCGTCGAGTTGTGTTGTGTCAATTACCTCACATGTCGACAAAGGAAAGGAAAAATTGCGCAAGTCTGCGAGAAGGATTTTCTCTTACAACTTACCTGATGCTGAAAAAAATTAATCGAAAAAGTAAAAAACGACAAACATTTATGTCCCAGCCTTTCTTGTTGCATCAAACCGGTTGCGTAAAGAAGATGACGAAGTTTCCTTGACTTCTGGTGGCAGCTCTATGAGTGACAAAAATGGCAGCTTGCTTTCACTGCGCTTTCTGTGCAGTACAATCGAGAAACACAATCACAGTCGTTTTTTGGGCCGAACAGCAACTGCGACGAAGAAGAGATATTGATATGCTTAACTTTTCCCTTTTTATTTTGTGTCCCCTTAAGGTTATTGTTTGAGATGGAGTCCACTCTGGTTGACATTGAACATACTATCTTCAAGAATAGCAAGACTGATATCGGATACAAAACTACCATGCTTAAAAAGGTACCATGAATTAATGTTCTTAAATCGTGGCCATTTCAGTTTCGGTAGTCATTTCCCTTTCTTATCCAAACTTGATCTTTCTTTTGCCATATTTGGAGTTAGATGCGTTCGATATAAAAAAAAAACAAACAAGTTGGGGTAGGTAACTTAGCATCAGCCATACTGTTGCACCGTACTTGGCCATATCGATGTACAAATCCAACTCTTTTGTGGCTGAATTCCTTTTCAATGTAAGCAATATGTTTTTGTTCATTCAGTATTGCTTATGGTCGTATTACGAGTGACTTAGAGTCCTTTCCCTTCCATTTATTAGTCACCAAATGTCCTATCACTGTAGCGGTTACATTTACTATGATTGTTGGTTTAACTTAATTTAGGTGAGTGAGGTGAAGTCTAGTTCAAGTAATGGCAGCGTTTTTGTCTGGGATGGAGCCTACTCGAACAGCACAACATCGTCAACTTCAGTCATGGATGAAAAAAACGGAGACTTCGACGAGGTATGTGTCTGTGTTACTACTTCGTCCGATAGGAGTCATCTCTTAACCACAAACAAAACAATAGGAACAGCCAATCAGAACGATGAACGTATGACAAGGAGCCAATGCGATCTCAAACAAACGATGAAACAAACCGCCTGAAGTGCTGGAAATCAGGATTATCAAATCGCGATTGGTTTTAATATTGCAACTGAGATGGTAGCGGACAGAACAGAGAAAGGCAAAAACCAATGCAATTTCGTACCACTTTATACCCCATTTGTAAAGTTGTCGCAACATTTTATAGGGAAGAATAACACCCTAAGAAGCATCATTTTTGTCTTTTTAAGCAAAAAACTTGGCGCGTTAATCAGGAGGCAATGGAGCCCTTTCTTGGTCGGAAAAAAATAAAACCGCGGGTTCACAATACCTTTTTTGTGTTGTATACTGTTTTCGCTCCTGCTAAGGACAGTGATCGCACTTTCCAGGACAAAAGATGCTTTTGCGTGGAAAATCCTACTTGTACTCGTCCTAAAATCTGAAGGTCTCCATTACGACCATTTTTTATAAGTGTTACTCTCCGCTCAAATAAATTTTCACTGTTCCAGGAAACAGAGAAGAGGGACAACATGGGATGCACTTCATTTGTGTCTGCACTGCAGTTGATGGTAGGTTGAGTTTCCATCATGTGTTTCTTTCTTTCTTCGTCGGCATTATTCATAAAATAATTCTGAGACCGTCATTTCAAGAATTAGTGCTTCAGTATTGGCGTTGTCACAACAGGCTTGTCTAATTAAAGCACGAAAATCCGTCACCACTTGATTCATTATTATTCTTTCTAACTACATGCTAGGTCTCTTTCTAACTGGCAGTACTCCATGTCTATTGCAGCTGCAATAATGACACTATTTACAACGGATATTGGTTTTGTTTTAGCACGACTAACGTCTTAATGGTTTTTTTTAGGCTAAATTTAAGCGGTAAAAGTGCCCTAGTAACTGTTTAAGTTTACTTCTTCTATGTCACTCAAAAATTGCTTTCAAATATGCAAAACAAAAAAAAATACTATGGTCACCGCCATGTAAAATTTTTCTTTGTAACCTGGCCGCCAACCTGTAAGTCAAGACAGTCTCTCCCCTTTTTTTTTTTCTTTTTTTTTTTTTTTCGTTTTTTCATCTCTGGCCGATCTGTTGGAACAATAAAAAATCCGTTTAAAAAGATTTAACGGAATTATTTTTGTTTCACTTTGAAATTGTTTGTATCTCTCTCTGCACATAGAAATCAAGTGATACCATAACAAAAGAGCCGGCTGAATCCAAACAACCAGTTAAGGTAATTCTCCAACCAATGGCTCCATTGATGCCAAGGAAGCGATAATCAGACAAATCAATTAACAATTATTCGTCAAAGGCTCAGTGAATATTGTTGAGTTTTAGCAGTTTTATTTAATTCAGTCAGACAACTTCATATCTTTCTTTTGTAAAGTGGTCCGCCAAACCCAGTAGCATTTTTTTGTGCTCTTTGAAATGGAATTTTCTTCCATCGCGTTCAACGCTTCCTGGTAACACTGACAAAACGCGAGGCAGCCATTTTGAAATTTAGCGCTCCTGCTATGATCATCTCGCGCGAGGAACGCGCGAGGTGATTATATCGAGGTATGACGAAATCCTCGACCAATCAGGGCGCATGCATCTTTATAATCTCTGGATCAATTGTACTATTGGTCTATATTTGCTCTTATTTTATTCTTTTATTTATGTTTTGATGTTGTGTCTTGTAGGCTCCCATTCGTAGAGTGATTCCGACAATAAAGTACTTCTTCGAAATCGGGTAGAGTTAAGACTTATTGTAGTTAGTTAGATTCTAGCGACCGTACGGTTTCTATCAACTTCATGCAAATGAATTAGAAAAACAAAAGGCATTTTGTTGTTGAGACACACCAGCGGGACACCCACAATCACTAAACAGAAACGATCCTAGTGAAATCATAACCACTGGTCACCGTGAACAACTCACCATACTAATTTTTTTAATGTACAAAATTTTCTTCATTAAGGACGATACCCAAACTTGACACTCAGTCTAACTCCGTTAGAGAGAAACAAAGTATTTCTGCGCGTCACATTGCATTTTAGTCATTTGCGTCTTTTGTACGTCTTTCGCGCGTCTTTCCCACTTCAACGAAGGCGTATAGTGTGCCTTAACTTGAATTTGAAACTGATGACACGGAATTGTCGTAATGTCATTCGTTTATTTTTATATTCAGTTGTTTATTTTGAATACAGTGGTAATAGTGAAGTCAAAGAAGAACCCTTGCAGCAACCGCAGCAGCCGCCCGAGCAAGAGCCACCAAAATCACGATACGTAGGAAAAGGTGCAAGAAAGTCAGCTAAAAAGCGTAAAAATCACAAACAAGTTGCGTCAGAGGTTGGTGCTCCTCTCCCTTGCCTTGTTTAAACATTGGTGAACATTTGGTTTCCCTTTTCGGTTTGGAAAGTAGAGGGTTTTTCCCTCTGACTGCTTGAAATTCAGGCCATCAATTAATCATGTAAATAGCTAATTTTGTTAGTGTTTTTCTGTTTACCATTTACGTTTGAAAAGGGCTTTTGGTGGTTAGAAGATTCACCTCTTCGTAAGAAAACCAGGTTAGAAGATAATCATTCAGAACATCGTAGTAAAACTGAAAATGCTGCGACTTCCAGTGACGTCTTCTTCAGCAAAGCGTCGGAGTTGAAGCCTTTGAAACGCGTCAGCAAAAGTGCCTCGTTCAAGTTTAATGATACAAATTCAGTTCCATGGCAAATGCTTGAAAGTTGTTCACCCAAGGACAGGCTTCCGCTGAACATACGTCCTTCGTTAAAGACAAACACTACGGCCTCTAACGAAGGCGTTCATCAGAAAGGGTCTAGTGATGGCTCGCCACTTGGTATCCATGGTAATGTCTCGCCAGGAGACTCTGTGGGTGTAAAGGATGTAGCGAATGTGGTTGTTAAGTACTTGTCTCCGTACCTCAAACAAGGCTCTATTACCTCCAAGGTAAGTTCCAGCATTACTCCTGAATGTATTTAGTGGAACCGCGAGGGAACTGGGATTAAGACAGAAAAGCCAATTCTCTCTCAAAGCCACCGACGTGAGTTTTTTTTTTCTTTGCCACGCCGAAAAATGGAAAGCGCTTATTTTGTTATTTTTATAAAACCTTTTCAGCGTTCTTGCTATTCATAATGACTTCTAAGTTATCGATAGTTGAGAATATTTTTTAACATACTAGTTCTCCTTAATGGATTCACTGTAACCTGCAAACTATTGGTTCGTTACTACTTCTTTAAATCATCCAACAGTCAGCTTGTCTCGAAATTTGAATACGATCTTAAACTTTGCCGGGTATTTTTTTTTTAGTTATTTTAAACCTGTCCTTCGCTCCAATGACTGACTTAAACTGTATATGCGGTCCTCTGACTTTTCTGCCTACCCCACACTGTTGAATAGTAACTGCTAGAGAGCAATCTTACAGAAGGCTTTTCATGTTTAGAGCAGCACAATTGCTTGTAGTTTCCAACACATTAATGTTTTCACTATTGTATCCTACGATTTAAATTACAACAGGCCTTATTTAAGTTTTTGGCTCGCTGCATCACTCACAGACTCATGGGATCTGGCAAAGCGTCTTCTTCTTCAAGTAAGTTCCTACCGATATGCTCACTGTCGGCATTTTCTGCATAGTGTCAATTAGCAGGTACTTCCTTATTTCAACTCTTCCCTCGAAGCCTTGAATGGTTCCCTGGGGTTAGGAGTTTCTCTTTAAATGACAGTTTTCTTGTGTAGCAAAGCACCAAAGAGGTGTGAAGAAAAATGTTGTATTATGCATAAGATTGACACAGATTGCACACGACGACTTGAAAATACAATTTTTTTTTTACAATTTTTGAAAATACAAATCGAACCTTTTTCAGTTTCCCTTGAAGGTTCAAGTTATCAGGAGTCGACTGTATGTCTTACTTGAAGAATGACACCTCACAGCGTTACTTAGTCGTGCTTCATTTAATACTTTACGTGCTTCTCTCTTAAAAGGAAAACAAGAAGTTAAGACGACAGTAAAGAAGTTGTTTGAGGTTTGCAAGAAATTTGAAAAGGAAAGTGACTGGGAGAAATACGTCCGAGCTGAAGAATCTGGCAAGGCATAATGATTAGGAAGTTAATTTGAAGAATCTTCATTCATCAGATATTTCTTCTGTCGAAGGAATGTGAAAATATTTTTTGTTATTGCAATGGTTGTGTTAAACACTGAATATGACAATTTAAGTCAAACTCATTATTTATATGAAAATTATAAGTAAAATTATTGAATTATAAGAATTGATAAAGTGGAGATTGTCATACTGATCGAGTGTAGTGAGTGTGTTCCGTTTCACTTTTTATGGAAGGTCAAAGTGACGATGTCAAATACCCGGAAAAAAAACTCCAATCTCCGCCTTTTGCTTCTTCCCACGAAATACTAGAAAAAAGTAAAATGAACGTATGAGCGATTTCGGAAAAGTCGTTTATACGACTCACCGAAAAAAGACGGAGCGTAATCTTCCCATCTGGTAAAGTGGCGCCCATGTAGGCTTTCAAAATTGCTAAATAGATATAATCACCTGGAGACCCAAAACGGGACAAAAATAATTATATGCGAGCACTTCACTGGCGATGGAGCGCAAATTATTGGTTCATAGAATACATTCAGATTTCGGGGTGTCTACCTGAGTGCGTAACATGAGAAAGAGCCCCAAGACTGAGTAACCTCTCTTTATAAAACTGTTGCCGTCAAGCGTTTTTTCGCCGAGCTGATTTACTTAAATTCCGTCTAATATACATCCTGCAGGTCCTCAAATTGGCTTTACCGCAAAAATTTCTCGAAAAACGTGATATGTTTGGATTTCTGGAGCCGGCGGGGATGAAGCAATGGTGAGAGAGCTCGCCTTCCGCCACTTTGAATAAAGGGGGTAAGTTTCTTGAGAAACTGTGGTTCTGCATCGGTGGGAGAAAATATCAAGGTAATTTAGCATTACTAACTGAGTTGATAACGTAAATTGGCCATCGTAAGGAGTTTAAAAGCCGACGTTTCGAACGTTAGCCCTTCGTCAGAGCGATTGAGAAAGGGTTAACGCTCGAGACGTCAGCTTTTAAATTCTTTACGGTGGCCAATTTACGTTATCAACTCAGTTGATAATACTAAATTACTTCCGTTACTTTGGCTGGACATGGCGTCACATGTGGGTTTTGTTTGTTATTGTTTCTCTTCCTTGCTCTAAGGGTTTTTCTCCGGGTCCTCCAGTTTTCATCCGTCCACAAAAACCAACATTTTAAGTTCCAGTTCAGTCTGGAAACAGTGAACAAGAAGAGCCACCTGGTGAAGTGTTCATTACCAAATTGCCATTTCTTTTATTTATTTTTATTACTTCCTTATTCCTTAGCATGATCGTTCAACTTAATTACCAATGCTTATATTGTTTTCAGTAGTAGTGCTTTTCCTCCTCTTCCCCACCCCCAAGGTTCATGATCGTCTCGCCCGCTGTTTCTTGCGTAAGTCATGGATTAAGAGCTTGTAAGGTTTTAAAAAGTTAAACTTAGAATTCAAAGCGAACTTCGGTGAAAATTCAAAGTTTTATTTCTTTAATCGAATTATTACTTTTTTTATTTACCTCACAAGGTAATACCCTATTTGGGTAAAGAAGCGGACACACTAAATACGGAAAGCTGACAGATGAATTAAGCTCCGAGCTATTTTTTTTCCCGTGAAGGGGTCGTAGTTCACGTAACCCGTCCGGCCCTACACACGTCAGCTTTCACTGTGATTTTCGATGGGATTGCGCGAGCGGGGCGGGACGCGTCATCTGATATAATAAAACCGTAGTACCCTGTCACAATCATTTCATGTGAATCGACTTCCGGGCGAATCAACTTCCGAGCGATAAGATCCGTTGCTATGACCTGATGAGAGTTTTAACCAAGGCCTTCAGAAGACTAGCGCGCTGACCATGAAAACCGCCGCTTCCTATGCAATACGCAAAAAGCATGCAGTTAAGCGCGAGCGTTTCCTCCTGTAAAAGCGCGCGCTATGACAACAAAGAAAATAAATCCGTTGTTACGTTAGTTGTTGAAAAGTTAGCGTACGCAAAGGAGACAACTTTCTATCAGCAGCCTTTAAGCTGCCAGTTTTTTGCAGAAAAATCGTTTTGAATAATTGCAAGTTTCCATAACGAAAAATGGCTTCAACTTCGATTAAAAGCAGAATGGAATCTTCGCGGAATCTTTCTTATAAAGACAAAAGTTTTGTTGGCAAATGTGAAAGAGAATTCCGCGAACTCAAGCAGCGCTCAGACAAGTACTTTGACGACTTGGAAAAAGTCGAGGAGATGTGCCAGCGGGCGAAACAAGAAGTTGAAAGAATTCAACTGAAAGCTCAAGCCAAAAGAGAGCTAATAAAAAGAGATGCCGTCTTCCGAGCCAACTTGTATTTCGCCGTCCAAGAAATGACGGGTAAACGAAAGAGAGTGGAAGTCAGAGAAGAGAAAAGTGCGGCAGACGAGAAGATGCCTGAACCGCCGGCTAGAAACGCTGAGCGGAACACATTAACTGGTCGCGTTTGTCGCCATTTGAAGATTGGCTGTTTCCTGGTTTTTAATGCAGTAGCTGCATATGTACTGTTTAAGTTAACACAATCATACTTCTAGTCTTAGTTCAGGGTTGGGGGGGGGGGGGGAAGGTACTGAATGGAAGAAAAGAAAGCAAGAACGAACAATTGGGATTTTATGTTCTTCTTACTCGGGAAAATGTTTTTTATGACTCCTAAAGACCAAGATCTTTACACGAAGAAGGAAAACGACAGAAAGGAGTTGAG